TACTCTAAATTTAGGATTAGGTTTGAAGTTGGATAAGCAAAGGAATTCTTTCAATGCTGGAAAGATGTCTTATCCCCCAAATATCTTTGGTATTAAATGTAAAATTTTAGTTTTAGAGATTCAGTAAAAATTTATTAAACTATGATATTCTTGAGAGATAGCACACTATGATTTGACAATCAGTGCTTTCTGGCATAAATATGGGCACATTCTTCAGTATCTTTCCTCACAGATAGGATGGGGAGAAGTGCAAAAAGCATAATCAGAAAATAGATATCTGGGATACTTGGCAGGAAAACAAAAATAAATGGAATTTTAGTGTGCCGAGGATAAAATTTACCTTGTGATTTAGAATCATGACTCCATAGACACAATGAACAGAGAATATAACATAATGAAAAAACTAGCTGAAAAATATTTTTACCTCCTATACTTACCTTACAGATAGCAACAAATAAACTATAGCAACACATCCCTTCATCTGCTCTTCCCAATGACATATCTGGTGGCAAAGTACATCAGGACTCTGAAGGAGGATGGGGCAAGCAAGTTCTGGGATGTTGACTTTCCACATTTAATTCCTATTGGTTACAATCTTATTATTCATTCAAACCCTGTTCATAGGAACTTGAGAAAATCTGTATGGATCTGACATTTACCAAATAGTTATATAATAAAACATATCATTTGACTAATTGAAGAAAACAGCTATGATAAATGTGACCTGGGTTCTAATTTTGCATTCCAGATTATTTAGTAAGAGAGTATTATTACTTTAATTTTCATTCAAAAAATGGGACAGAAATAATTAAACTGGGATTTTTAGATGAAGCATTATCGGCTACAGAGAGTTGGAAAAATCATCTCTTAGGCAAGCTAACTCAATTTCTGAAACATTTAGTGGATTAAATAAGTGCAAAGAAGTATAATTGGGTACCTTTAATTTGTTTCTGTATTTATAAGGATTGAATATTATACATCATTTCACTTTACCTCAAAAATGTAAATGGAAAGTTTCATTTTTGTCAATTGCAGTAAGCTGTTGAATTTTTTATTCATACTCTTCTAAAACTTCTCATAAAGCATATCATTTTTGGATACAGTGTGAGTCACTGTAGGAAACCCAGCTAAATCTCTGTCAATTTTTAGCAAGGATGAAAAATACTCTTTACCTGATTCTAAAGTAGTAACAATCACTTCAGCACTTGACTTCCCTTCTACATATGCAGCACTCATGTTTCCAGTAAATGCAGTGATGACCACAGAATATTTTGTGAATATTTTTAAATCTTTAACTTCTATGGTTTTATTTTCTTCATTTGACTTGATGAGAGTAATATTAAATTCATCATTATCTACCTAGAGCAAAAAATAAGTAACAATTAAGGAAGCAGCATTTGAGATTCAAATCACCAAACATAACACACAATAAAAGCTACATGAAATATATTTATCTGGCCAAGAT